CAATTTGTTTATTATATGCCGAGTCTAAAGATTCATATACACTCAGTTGTTTTCTGTTCATAATATCTTCAAAATTTTTAGAAGATGTGAGTGTTTCACGATACCACTGTGACGTTTCATGTCATTTTGCGGCTTCATTAAGTTTGTGGTATTTAACACAAGGAGAAATAATAAATTGTCCTAGCAGACCTCTTTGAGCTGGAGGTCGAAACAGAACACAGGCACGTCAAACAGGCCCTTTTGCACTTTCTGAGTACACCAACCAAGGGTACGATTGAAGCCATTCCAAACGAAATGATCGAACTAACAAATGATAATAAAATATAAATAATATTATATTTTCTATTAGTTATTTAGTTTAACAAAAGTGTTGTAACACAAACTGACTTCTCACAACTGTATAACTTCATCAACACAATAAATACCATTGTTAAGCGTGCACAAACACGTTAGTATACAGAACTACTGTCTGTAGTTATTTGTATTTCAAAGTCAGTAGCTATATCAGCGCCATCAATACATTTTCTGGTGGTAAAGTTTGCAAGTGCAAGAAATTTGTACTTTTTTTTTAAATATCTTGTTAACAATGAAGAAATGTGTCTTGAAAAAAATTAACAGATGAAAGAGTATATGTAATGACAAAACAAAATGTAATAACAGAATATTTTTTGGGGGGGGGGTTAGTTTGCTAGAGGGTTGCTCCCCCTTTTATATTATTATGCCGGTGCCCTTGGTAACAAGCTCTATTCCTTGTTTTTTCTTATCTGATGTGTGGTAGCATTTTGTGCCAAATACAACAAACCCAATTCTTCCTAGTTCCATTTTTTTGGGTTGCTTTTATAGTTTGACAGTCCCTTAATCCAGCTGAGGTGAATGTCTTTGAGATGAAGAGTGTCTAAAGTGGTAAATCGTGTAAGCACAAGGGCATCACACTCATATAAAATGTGATACACTGAGAAACAAGTTAAAAATTACCAACCTTTGGCTATTGCAACAATTTATTTCAGATTGCACGGCATTTTTAAAATGTGATTAAAGGGGCTTTTTTTTTTATTTGGGGTTTGTAAAAAGTGCTTAATTTTCTATCTTTTAAAACAAGTTTTTTTCTTTGCAGTGCCGATTATATTTTTAAATTACGAAAAATGCTTCATTTTCACTGTTTTCTCTGCAATATTTATCAGAAGCTTGTTATTTTATCATAATCATATACAGTTTTTGAAAATGTTTTTGAATTTTATTGATTTTATGTTTATGAATTAAGAATTTTAAACAATATTAAAAAATATTTTTTTTTACTGCACAGATCCTAGTTATGATTTTTTTTTTTTTGGAAAGTGATTAAAAGATTTTTTTGAGTGCTTTAAAAGTACTTAAATGGTGCTTATTTTTTCTTAAAAAATGTGGCTATGCACCCTGTTAATTAAAGTGTAGTTTGTGGAAGAGAATACAGTATTTAAAAAAAAGCAGTAACTGTTTGCATTAAATAGGTGTACTTGCCTATTACTTTTTTTTATCATCCAAATTTGTATTTGTCGTGATCAATTTATTTTTTAAAAATTATTAATAAGTAATGTTTACGCTGAATGAGTATGTTATGATCTAAAATAATAGAAAGTTAATTATTTTTTTTATTCTTAAATACGCAGATGTTTAAACTATGTTAATTTGAAACTATTTAAAGAATTAATTTTTATCAAGTAAAAATTATTTTAACTTTGTTGACCGCAAAATAAAGTAAGTTTTTTGGTACTCTAAATATTAAAATATGATCGAAACTAGCATTAAGTAGTTTTAAAATTGTTCTTAATTTCTATAAAACACACTTTATTACGATGTACAAACAAAAACAATGCTTTTTGACTAGTTATTCTTTTAAAGATTCTGTTAAATTAAAATACTTTAAATTTTGTTCATATTTTTGACTCATTAAAAGATTAAGCCCCTGAGAAATTGTTAATTGATACATTATTCATAACAATATTGTATATCATATAATTGAAAATATATAAAAATTAAAACTTATAAAGTATTAAAAATGCATGAAGTATCACATATTACATTTCACTTTTATGTATCACATATGTCCTCTTTTTCACTAGTCTCAATTGAAAAATAGGCAGCATTTATTTCTTTAGATACATTGATGTATAAGTAAAGTTGCTTAAATCCAATATGTACAGTATCTTGAAAATATAGTTTTATTTTGAAAAGAAAATTTGTGAAAATTATGTCTGTTAAAACATTATCAAAATGACATTCAATTTATAAATATATATCTATTATTATGTCATGTAATCCTATGGGATAAAACAATCACAAATGAGACCAATTTTATGGGATATTTTTTTTAACATTTTAAATTGTTATTTAACCTTTAAAGAAATTCTAAAAATGTTAACTAACACAAAATAATTACTTTGAAAATCCTGTATTATTTTGATAAAAACAAAATAAATAAAACTACATAAAATATGATTAACACACTCATACAATAAATTTAACAGATTATCCAGTTCTTAAAAATATTTTTTTATTTCAGTTTAATGAGTATATTAAAATCATATAGATTTTTTTTTTAATAAAATTTTTGCATAAACTTTTGAGCTTTGAAATTTTTCTTTCTTCTTTTAATTAATAGAAATGCAGGTTGATGTTAATGTTTTGCATTAGTATATAAATTATCAATATTTATACAAAAAAATTTATTTGCAAATTTTTTATTGAATTAAACGTGACATCTAATTTAGGAATGAGAAAAAAGTTATTAAAAAATCCTAAAAGTTCTAAGTTTTGATTTATAATTTTCACATTTTAAGCATTATAATAATTTTATAAATATGAAATATGAGCAAACTTCATGCGTTAAAAATAAATTTGGTATATAAACTATAAAACAATTCTGACAGTACATAAACGCACAATTACAAATGTATTGCATAATTTAAAACAACTATTTGCTTACCTCCCAAGATATGAATTTATTTAATGAGTTCTTGTAATCAAAGGAAAAACTATATTAAATGGCTATAAATAGCTAATTTAAATAATAGTGGAATAGAAATGTGAGCACTTTGCAAGAGAAGGTTTAAAATGTCAGAGTAACTCTCGGCGAAATCACCCCCTCCCCCCCAAAAAAACATAAAATATCAACTAGAATCTCTCCCTACTTAATTCCCTAAAAGCTTAATGCATCTGTTTTCTTAGAAATTCTAGATAATTGCCTGCGTGAGACAGTTTATGAATAGATAGGGATGGGTCTGTCGATATCCGGCATTTTTAAAAGACAATATAGGATGTCAGAAATACGATAAAGACTGTTTCCAAATGCAAAGAACGTTTTTCCACAGCATAAACTGAGACAGCTATTTTTGAGGTATCAAATGATTCTCTGCCGTGTAATGTTTAAAGCTAAAGGATGATTAAAAATCAATCTTAATCAGTTAAATGCATGGAGAAAAGGAATTGTACAATGAGCGTCTTATTGCTTATTAAAGCAGGGTGGCCACCCACCTGGAACTATCAGGGAATTTTTTAAAGAAAAGCTGGAATTTTTTCTTTGATTTTTCTTAACAGGGATCTGTCTGGGTTTTTCTGAGAGTTACCTATTTTGTGTAAATTTAGACATAATTTGTGAAAATTAACAATTATATTAAAAAATCAGCACAAAAATATGGATTTATCGTTTTTTAAGAGACCCAAAAATAAAATTTTAGGAAAAAGTATTTTGTGAAGGCACTGCTAAACGGTAGTAAGTTTGGCTTGGACAGACCCCTGATCAATTTTACTAATTTAAATTATTTACTAATTTTCTTAATTAAATTTATTTTACCAACTGTTATACCCTTTTTTAGACGAAAGTTTATTGCCAAACAGTTGAAATACCATCAGCTTAGCAATACTTCGCTTGCATCAAAATTTGGTTCATTATAACCCTGTTAAACTCACATAGTTTCTTAAAGAATAGAGAACCTTTCCTGGTCACCTCATTCCCATATGGTGACCTGGCTAGCACTCTATCCCATGAGTCAAAGATGATAAAATAACATTAAAAAATATTTTAAATTAAATACTCTATAATATTGACACTTTTCTTTTACCCATCCTAAACTTTGTGAGAGAAAAAAAACCTTGACCTGGAAATTTTAGGATTTTTACCTGGAAAAATCGGGGAAATTTAACACCTAATTTGGGTGGCCAAAGGAAAAAGGAATCTGTAAAGGAATGGTTAACAGTTACAATTCTTGTAGTTCTCTTAACACTTGTTTAATTTTTTTATGCAATGCAGTTTTTTTGTGTATTTAAATATAGTTAATTTTCTTTTAATAATAAATGTAATAAGTTGCTCTATGAAAAAAGAAAGGGGGGGGGAGAGAAAAGAAAAGTAAAAAATATAGATAGAGAGTAAAAGATATAGATAATATTTTCTCAAAATAATAGACCCTGATTTCCCAAGTTATGGGCCAGTCTCAAGTTTAGTCTCTCTAAGGTCGAGTTTATAGTTAGAACAAATTGCTAGGTATATAGTTATGTCAAGTTTAGCCTATCTAAGATCAGTGCTTTCTATGCATATTTTGAAAATGGTACAAAACATCAATATGGAGAAAAGTCACAGTTTTGTGAAAATGAAAAGCATTTATGGTTTAATTTTTAATATTTAAAAACTTACTCCAATGCTGCATTATCTGAACTCATTAAAATTTGCAAAAACTGAGAATAAGGCAATATGATTCATAGTTTCAAAAGCCATTACAGAAAGAAAATTTAGTTACAAAGGCTTAACTTTCATAAATGAAGGTAAACATATGTAATACCGTAAAGTTATATTTGAATATTTTTAGCCTTTTGAATATTAGCCTTTTGAATATTTTTAGCCTTTTTGCTTTCCATATGAAAGTCACAATTAGCATTGTATATATATAATTAGCTTTATGTTTTCAAGATGTATAATTATTAAATATTTCAGTTAAACTAGATAATTAATCTGATATGTATGTTTTAAGGCTTCAACTTTCTGCATTGGAATGCTAACGATTGACTGCTGTGTTTTAAAATTCTCGTGAAGTTTTTTAATAAAATGAATCTTGCTGGAAACAATATGTCTTTGTCAAGTGAGTATGCATACAACTTTCTTATTTATATATTGTCCATATAAATATCCTGTTTGAAAGTTTTGGTAAAATTTTGACGATCTCTTTTAAAATTAACATTGTGCTTTAATTACCATCAAATATGCTCTATAAAACAATATGGTTCAAGTTGCACCAAATATTTCTCATAAACTTATTTAGATGAACAGCATTGCTACTCTACAGAGAGAACAGGGAATTTCCAGTTTTCCTATACAAATTGGGAATTTTGTTTCTTATTTTCCTGTTTAAAAGTTTTGGTAAAATTTTGATACTATTTAAAGCTTTGAAATTCTTATAATATGGTAATAAATTAAATAACAGTATAGTGAAAATGTAAAAATGCATTAATCAGATTTTGTATTATACAGACAAGTACAACAAAATCTTTGAAATAGTAGAATTTTGCTCTTTGAAGTGTAAAATAAATTAATCCTATATTCATTTAACGACAAAATTTGTTTAATTTAATTTTTAAAATTGAAATTTTAATTTCATCTCATTAATTTGGTATGAATAGTTATCATAATAGACCATAAAATTGCATAGATAAAATAAATTGTACTAAAAAGTGTAATGTTAATGAATATTCCATTTGCATGTGTGTTTTATTAGATCAATTTTTTTATAAAACTGAATGGAAAAAAGACCCATTCTTGGAAATAAGAATATTGTCATGGATAATCTAGAAAGCAAAATTGGAAATAACGATTGCTTTTTATTAAAACAAGCATCAAATTTTTAATTACGACTACTCGAAATGGGCTGTATATCCAAAAATATTGGTGTTATGCGATCATGGCAGATCTGATGTTTGAATTGGCAAAACATGAAATTACAACAGAGTGTGTAGCGTTTTTAAAAAGTGCTTAAAGGTGCTTATATTAATTTGATTTATGTTTTTAAAAGCCCTAAAGGTGCTTTTTTTTATTCTGGGTTTATAAAAAGTGCTTAATTTGCCATCTTTTAAAAATATATTTTTCTTTTTGCCATGTCGATTGTCGTTCTAAATTTGAAAAAATTCATGACTTTCACAATTTTCTATGCAATATTTATCAGTAACTAGTTATTTTATCATGATTATGTAAAGTTTTTTAATTTTATTGATTTTATGTTTATAAATTGTGAACTTTAAACAGTATAAAAAATAATTTTTATTACTGCACATATCCTAATTATGAATTTTTTTTTTTTTTTGGAATGTGATTAAAAGTATTTTTTGTTGAAAAAACTGGCTACGCACCCTGTACAATCTTTGCACGATGCATCCTTAAATTACAATCTTCTTTTCTCCTTAGGGTTTTTTATTTCTTTATTTTTTTCATTAAAAATTTTAATAGCCTTTTTTAAAAAAAAAAATTATTCCAAAATTACCTCCAGGGTATCTTGAATTTTACTTATATTCTGCACTCTATGAGCTGAACTACCTTCTTACTTCAAAGTCTAGAAAATTTCAGTAACTCTACATTTTAGGTTTTATTTGAACATGGCTGCAGGTAAAACCAGTTTTAGCACTGGCTAGCGTTCTGTCAATACTTCTCCATATGCATCAGAAATTTTTTTTCTTGATTGGACAGCATTTAAACCTTTTTGATCTTAAAATTGTAGAATATTTTGAAAATGGATGTGGGGAATGGAGTTATGGACTATGTCAACTGTCATCTATGAAAAGATACCCCAGCATAGAATCCTGTTAAAATGTCTTATATACTAGTTAATTGGAATTGTATTTTTGTAGTGGTAGACACACTACAGTATTCACCCACCAGAATTATATCTCTAATTGAATTCAATGAGCAGATACCACTATACTTCATTTCACCTTAAGTTGGCACTGGAGAGAAGGGCAGGTAGACTGGATTGCAGCTGTTGTCATGGAAACTGGGTTACTCCTTAAGTCGGTTGGGGGATGAGGTAGCAAAAAAAGGAGAGAAAGTGGCCAGTATTGGCGTTAAGGGAAAGAAAAAGCCGATTTTTTTTTAAACCAAGAATCTTACTAATATTTTGAACAGAATACAGAAAAGAACACGATTTTTTTAGAGCATTTCCAATAATTATTATTTTAAGATGCTAGTTGTAAGCTGATTTCTTATTATGATTTTTTAGAAAGCAGATTTTCTAATTATGATTTTTCAAAAACAGATTTTCTTATTATGATTTTTTAACTAAACAAAATTAATTTTAAACAGCAAAAAAAAAATATATATATAGATAATTAAAAAGATTCTTTTTTGCTTAAAATTAAGTAAAAAAAGAAATGCATAGATGCGCATAAATACTTTTTTTTAGATATTTATTTTTAAATGCTATTTATTTTTTGTAGATTAATGTACATTAATTTATTCCACATTGGTGTTTTGTGGGAGAAGGAAAAATCAACATATTACATTTCCTACCTTTTCCTGCAGTGCCAACTTAAGGTGAAACAAAGTACAGTTTATTTATTGATGTTTTGTGAGAAGCCTGGAGAGGTGTATTAAGATCGCCATACTTTTGAGTGCTGATTGAAAAAACTGTATTAAGTTGACAGTCGTGGTTGCTCCTGTGTTGCCATTAGCTGTTGAGTGTATCAAGGCAGATATTGTGTGTGATCAAGACTGGGTAGCAACAGCTCGAGTGGTGGATAATGCTCACAGTCACAAATAGCAAGTTAACTGTTTGATGTGGTCCATCCATCTTAGAACTGTGTTCAATTCAAAGTGGGAGTTTCTTTCAAGGTAGACCTGTTCACATTACGTCTGAAGGTCACCAATATGAAGGACTATCATCTATGAAAAGTTTCCCCAACATAGAATCCTGTTAAAATGTCTTATATACTAGAGAATTGAAATTGTATTTTTGTAGTGGTAGACACACTACTATGCAGCTTTTCTCTCACTTTATTTGAAAAGGCACCAACAAAGAGCTACTGTGTAGAATTAATCTAACTTTTTCACAATCAAGTCTTGATCTATCAACTATTAAACTATACATAATTTTGTTGCTTAAGTGTGAATTTAGCTGTGAAAAAATATGATTAAGTCCTCTCTAAGAAAAGAAGAAAAAAAGCGAAATTCATTAGACATTTATTTTCATATTCACATGTTTTTAAAATGCAATATTGGGATTTGTATTCATATTAGTTTAAAATCTAATGCAGCAATTCATATTCACATGTTTGTAATAATTAATAGAATACTTACAAATTAAGTAAAAGAATATTTAATAAATGTTTAAATTTGCTTAATATATAACGCATTAAAAATAATCCATTAGTTTACTTAAAATATATTAATTGAAATCATTAAAAATGTAGGTGTTTTTGTTTATTTTTACTTTATTTACCAATATCAATGTATTTTGCTTGTCTTTGACCATTAAAAAGAATTAAATTGTTTCCTTATTTTTTCCATGTACAGCTCTTTTGATTTGAGCAGGGTATCAGTTTCACCTCCGACTACAGATCATGTGAATATCGTGGGTGAAGAATTTCCCCCTTGTTTCAATACTTATCCTGCTATTTCTCCATGCAGGTTTAAAAAACATCATTTGATGCTTATTTTCACTGCTAGATGGCACTAGAGGGTTCAGGATATTTTTTTCTCTTTGCTTGATTCCTCCCCCCTCCCATATTTGTGAGTTTGCGTGCTTTTTGTTCTTCTTTCGCATGATATGAAAGATATAGATTTGCAGAGTGTCAGCGACATTATATGTGGGAATAACAAACGAATATATCTTGATAGTGATTGGGTGTATTCCATAAATCGGGGCTATTCTTTTATTTTATTTTCTATTTTATTACAAAATTTCTGTAACATTTTTCAAGACAAAATATTTAAAAATTTTATTCATCTGAAAATAAAAAATACCAAATTAATTTTTTCACTTATAAACCCTGCCTGCTGAGATGGCGGGCGCTGTATTATATATTTTTTGAAAGCGTAAAAGCTAATAAAATTCTTTGATAAATTATTAAAGAATTAGGTTCATAGCTAATAAATTATTTTAAAGCAACTGATGAAGATATGAATTGTAGCATATGTAGTTAACTAAAATATTTTTAAAAAATCTCCGTCCCCGTATTTTAGGACTGGAAAGTATAACAATTGAGCCGTATGCAGAGGGTTTATTAATATTGATAAGTTGTTACAAAAATAACAGTACATAGTAATAAATTTTTGTATTTTACAAATTACCTTGTTTACTTTACTTAGAAAATTCTTAAAATATTCAATTTGACTGATATGTTATTTTTAATATTTAATTTATTTGTTTTTTTCTTTTCAGATAAATATCTTGCTCAAACAACTATAATTTCTAAGATTTAATACCATTTGAAAAGGGGTTTAAAAAAATAGCAAACATGCAGAACGGTACATATCCTTGGATGGCGACGTCGTCTTTGGCTCAAAAGAACTGGCCTGTGACCCCTGGCTACCAGGCAAGTCTCAGCGACCTCTTCTTGAAGAAAAATCCTCTTCACTTCGGGACAGGCATATCGCAGTTGGCCGCTGCTTCGAACTACATCGAGAAAATGTCGACCATAAACGAACCGCCTCCGAAATGCCATCACCCTGACGCTAAAGACAAGGGACACCCCTGTGAAATTTGTCAGCAATACTTATTAAGCAGTAATTTTAATAACATAAGCAGCATGCTGAGGAATGATGGCACTTCAGCGAATGCCACACGGCAAAGTAACAGTCCCATCATGACCAATTCTCCATCTGAAAGGAAACCGATGAACCTTATGCCTAACGGACCACCTCCGAACGTCATACCTACGTCCGGCATGCATCCATCTATGAGCATGCATCCGGGGGGTCCTCCCCCCGGCATGCAGAATATGAAGCCTAGACCTTTACCAACAAAACAGTTCCCCTGTCCTGTGTGTCATAAATTATTCACCCAAAAAGGCAATCTAAAAACTCACATGATGATCCATACCGGGGAAAAACCGTACGCCTGCCAAGCTTGTGGAAAAAGCTTCACTCAAAAGGGAAATGTAGATACACATATGAAAATACACACTGGGGAGCGTGAATACGGCTGTGACGCCTGCGGAAAGCGGTTCACTCAAAAAGGCAACTTAAAGACTCATATCCGAAGTGTGCACACGAAAGAGAAACCCTTTGCATGTGGTTTATGTGGGAAATGTTTTTCCCAAAAGGGTAACATGCAGACTCATATAAGAACACATAACAAAGACGACCGTTTCCCATGTACACTTTGCGGAAAAACATTCTCCCAGAAAGGCAATCTAAAGACTCACATGGCCCGACACGCAGGTCAGATTCCGACCAAGCGACAGTTCGGTTCACGTCTTGCGAACAGAACTTATGTCGGGCAGTTGGTTAAAGCCGGTCAGACAACAGTGCCTCGTATGCAACCATTCCCCATTCAGCCGTCTCCCGTGTCTTCGCAAGCGTCGACCACGTCACCTCTGAACTCTCCTACCACACCTCAGCCCATGGGTTCGAACCAGAATAATCACCCGGATATACGTAGCCCCCACCAGGGCCTCGGCAACCCTTATTCCGAATCTCCCATTGATCTTAAGCCCCCTCTCAATTGCCACCTCCCACTATCACGACCCATGTCCTGTAACCAAAATCCACCTATGGCTAACTCCCCTAGTCCGCACCCATCCCACCTCTCGAGTCCCTCCCCCGACGAAGACGCAAATCCGAGGCCTTTCATCCATAGTAAGTTATTCCAAGCCACGCATAGTCCAAATTATTTGAATGATCAAATGCAGGATCCTAACGGCAGCTTGATGAATTCCCAGCAGCAATCGAGAATCAACAGTCCCGTCGGGACGCCCGCCGGCCACCTTCAGCAGAACCACGAGCGCGATGCTCGTCCGTTTTACTCCGCTCCTCCCACTCCCATACCTGCTCCACTGACTCCCGTTTCGAGGTGGCTTCCTCACGGAATGACACGCCATTACGAATCTTTCCAATCACACGCAGGTCTCGGATGCTACAGCTCCGTGGCTTCACACACCACCCCGTTATCTCGATTGTCTCTACTGGCGTCGGGGTCTATAAACTCTCAGCAAAATCATAGTATGAATTCTCAGAACCAACAACCCTTAGACGAGGAGGAAGACATCGAGAAGGACAAAGAAGCTGTGCCACAACAACAACAACATTTTCATTCTCCAAATAATCCCGATTTCTCCCAACTACTGGATTGATTTGGGTTGCATAATTAAGTAAATATACAGTTTCTTGTACAGTGTAAGTTGTTAGTGTTGATTAACTTACATGTACATACATTTTTAATATTGTGTGATGCTTGTGTCTAAACAGTGAAAGTGAGTTTTTCCCTTTAAAGGGAAAATTGTGGGGGAAAAAATTGTTTCATGTGTGCAAAAAGTATTCTTTTTACATTTAAATTTGTGGAAGTTAATTATGTTTACTAGTGATATTTCTTACAGGGTCTAGGCACAGGCATTCGCAAAGTATTGTGCATCGATGTTCTTTGACATATTAAAATTTAAATCAGTTCTTAGCTTACTGACAAAAATAGCTATGCAGGGATTTTATACTAAAATATGTAATTTACTTAAAAATATTCGTATTTTAGATAGTAATGGCTTGCTGTAAATAGGGAAGTTTAACCCGGTGAATTCTTGTCTGTATGAGAGATTAACTTAAACTATTAATTTACCCAAGTTTTTATAATTTATATACATATGCATAGTTGCCAACTATACTGGATTTACCAGTAGACTAATAGATTTTTCCAGTTTCTCCTAGTCTATTGGTTTAATAAAAATTCTGGTTTTTGTACATTTTAGAGAACTACCTAAAATTGAGTAATTTTCCAACAAAAAAAATCCGTATTGAAATTGAATTTATTATTTGCTTAAATATGTAATTGAGTATTGCTAATACATAATGAAGCGAGCCTCATTTTTCATAATAAGTTTTGAAATTTTTTTTTGTTCTAAAATGTACATTTTATTTTTATTCAGAACACCTTTTTTTAAAATATTTTTTAACTATCAATATCAAATTGTTTATTGCTATTAAAAATTATGAGTTAGCATAATTTAAAAATCATTTAATATTGTTAGCAAGTGAAAAATAATGCAGACCATTTATTGTTATTAGAGTGATTAGGTTTTTGTGTGTTGATGGCAATAAAAATCCCTAAAATTCCCAACATGTAATATATTCAGTTATCATGAAATTTATATTTCATTAAATCTACAGGATTTTTTTTTGTATCCATGTTGACAGCTATGCATATAATTTTCAAAAGATTTTCTAATTTTTGTTAGTTTTTTTTTTTGCATAAATTTTTCTATTTCTTATATACACGACACTACAACTGTTATCAAAATATGCCACTCCTGACATTTACAATATTATTAAATATGTCTTGGCGTGTTGCTTAAAAATTAAAATGTTTTCCTAAGTTTATCAACAAATGTTGTTTAAGAATCATTAAAAAAAAAATTTTCAATTCTAGTTGTTAATATATTGTTTTAATTTATGAGAAATTTAACGTAATTTATTGTAGTTTTTATCATTGCTATATTATTGCTGGAATTATCTTCATATATTATGAAATTTTTGAATTTTAATTTGAGCTGTTATCAAATTTTTGGCGTGCAAACATTGTTTGGTATTATGTATTTACATACACATATATGTATATATACATGTGTGTCTACATAAGCTGCGTACAAAAAAGTTAACTTTTTCGGTAGGAAAATTATGTGCTTTTTAATATTAATAATATATATTAGTAAATGTAATCATTGGAAATTACGTCTTGAAAATGTCCCACGTACTTCTACACCACTAATGTACAGGGTGAATAAAAATAAATTAACCAACTTTGAAACACAATCGAAACTTTTAGAAACATAACTTCTGCTCCCTCTAACTGTCTGGTCAATAACACTCGCAAATGTTAAATTGATATTTTCATCAAAGGAAAAAAAATTATTTTGAAAAATATAATTTCAAACTGTTATTATTATTAAACACGCATGTGTTAGTTTTTTAGTCAATAATTGACACAATAAATTCACACATTGATGACACTATTTATTTCATCAATAGTTCAAACTTTTTTGATTACTATACTAATATTGAGATTTTTTTTTTCTTCTTTGCCAGATAGATTATCATTACAAAAAATACATGATTTTCACAGTTTTCTCTGAAATATTTATCAGAAACTAGTTATTTTATCATGATTATGTAAAGTTTTTTTTTAAAAATTTTTTTTGAATATTATTGATTTTATGTTTGTAAATTAAAAACTTTAAACAATAGAAATTTTTTTTTATTCCTGCATAGATCCTAATTATGAAAGTTTTCGGAAATTATTGAAAAAAATTTTAGTGCTTGAAAGGTGCTTATTTTTGGTTGAAAAAAATCTAGTTGCGCACTCTGAAGGACAATAACAGTTTAATTTTTTTAATTGTTGAAAGTGTGTACTGAAAAGAAATCCTTATTCCTGATGTAATTTTTTTTATTGTAGAATTTATAGATGAAAACATCTTGATTTTAGAAGTTGCCAGCTATGATACAAATATTAAATTGTAACTTTTCAAGTCACTAAGTTTCACACAGAGACTCTATTTGGAGTTTCAGCAACCTCAAACAAATTTGTGCATGCCTCATCATATATACAGGGGTGCACAACCTATGACCTGCAAGCCACATGCGGCCCACCTACTGTTATTTCGGCATGCGGGAGCTTCTGAACGCAATAAAAAAACATTTTTGATTTTTGTTTAAACATTGTAAATTTCTTTCATTAAAATATTTAATTAAAATTTATATTGCTCTATATATTTTTTACACTTTCATTCTGTAAGCTTCTTTTTGGTTAAAATTTATATCCCCCCTCCCAATATTCATGTGTGTATATCTATCTATATTTGATAAATTAATTATTGTGAAAAAGTTTAAGGAAATGTATCAGCTTTTTTTAGGTTTAAATAATTAAAAGTATTTAATTTTCTGAAAATATTCTGTTAAGTTTACTGATATAAATATTTAGTGCTTAGAAGACTAATGTCTATATAAAAATTATCATATTTGTTGCTAACATGACTGTGTGGCCCTTCATTAATCTACCTTCTCTGCGAGTGGCCCTTCACCCAAAAAGATTGTGCACCCCTAATATATACCAGAAAGAATAACCTCAGTTTTATTTTATTCATTTTCAATGTCAAAGTTTGTCAGCTAATTCTTATTCACCCTGTAAGTTAATTAATTTCTGACATTTCGTTTAATGACTGTTTCATTTACCGACATTTATCCTGTGCCTAGCTCCATAGTGGAGGGGAGGGGGGAGTTGTTATAACCGTTTTAGTTATCTTTGCATTTTTCCAATATTTCTCAATTCATTTTTAGATTATATTTTTTTATTTTATATATTTTATCTAGTGCTTGTTAGTCAGTCATTTTTAAGAAATTTAACTGACATTTTTTCTTCTTTTAATTGTAAAGATCAACGTTACCTTTTGCTGTGTGTGCTAATTGGCTGTTATGGTATACCCAGACAATGTTATGTTAAAGTTATTTTGCGATTCCTTTATTCAACTATGCATCTTTAGTTCCTATATTATATGATGGCCATTCCAGGTTACGAAATTTAAAATGCTTTGTTATAGCGTGGAAGTGGTTTCGAGCTTTGCTTTTATCGTTTGTTAAAAAATGTTAGTAATTATGTTTATTGTTGTTGATATTTTGCTTAATTTTTTTTAATGGTTCGTCAGAAGCAGCAAATGCTTTTGGCAATGTGTTTCATTTCATTTTGATTTTTTCAAAATCTATATTTTGCATCATGTTTTTTAAAAAGAATGGTTTTTTCCATTAGTTTAGCTAGAATTTATCTTGATTTATAATCATGTGTGCTTCAGAAATGCTTTTAACCTTTTATTTTTATTTCAATTATTATTATTTTTTAATACATGAAAATTATTGTCACGTTATGTGCACTACTTCTATTATGTTTCCAATCTTTAAAGATGATTTTTGTTTTCCAGTGATACATTTTTTGGAAAAAAAGTTGTCTTTTTTGTAATTGTAAATTGAGAGTAAGTCAAGTAAAAATTCATTATTTAATAATGGAATTATTAAATAAAGTTATTTTCCAATAGAATTTAATGCAAAACTATTTATTCTGGTTAAGTTTAAAATATCCAAAAACATTATAAAGCAAAGAAAACAGACCTCTCTTTTTTTTTTTTTACTTTCTGAATATTCCTCCAATTTTATGTTTTTAAAATTTGGACACAATCCCATTTTTGTATTGCAGTGCTATTTGCCAATTATTATATTCATTGCAGTTATGTTTTCAGGAAATGATACTCTAATATTCGAAAAGAATGATTTCTTGGGAAATGAAATAAATTGTTTTATCTTCAATTTTGGGAAACTATCTCTGAGACAATGGAAATATATCGCAACAAGTTGACATTTTTGAGTGATTGTCACAAACTACAAGAATTTTTAAAAAAGAAAAGAAAAACATTAAGATTTTATAGTGTTAGTAAAAAAAATAATTACGCAAATGTTTTTAACATCTTGTCAGCACTTCAAAACATCATATCTTTGAATTATGTAAATGTCACAGCCACCAGAATTAATTTAATTTATTGTTGGCTGAAAGTCGGTATTTCTGAATTTAGAATTTTTTTTTTTTAAATGTAATATTAATACATGTAAAATAAATTAAAGTTCTGAACATAAATTTGTACTGACCTATTTTGGCTTTATTTTATGAAATTTACTCCTGAATTTTAGCATCTTATGTATTTTAAAGTATTGTGCAGTTAACTCCTTAAAGTACTCCTTAAGTAAAATCCTTAATGGAATCTATCTGCCATCATTACTACAAAGTTAGCCATTTCTAAAAAGAATAGCAGAAGTTACAATCAAGCTCCCTATAATTGTTTTGTAATTTAAATTGATCTTCATTTAAATTAAATTGATGAGATTTTCATAAATTAGGCCTTAATACACTACCATAGCTGCCAACTCTACTGGATTTTGCCAGTTTCTCCTGGTCTACAGGTTTAATTAAAATTCTCCTGGTTTTTGTACATTTTAGAAAATTCCCTAAAATTTAGTAATTTTCCTAAAAATATCTGTATTGAAATATAATTTTTGTAGATTATTGCTTGAATATTTAACTAAGTATTACTAATGTCTAATGAAGCGAACCTAATTTATAGAAATCAGTAAAAAACTTTTTTTGTCCTAAAATGCTCAGCTTATTTTTATTCCGAACTCTCTTTTTAAATTAATTGAAACAATTTTTTAAATTGTCTTTGATGAATTAAATGCCGATTAATATTCAAAATTATGAGTAAGCATAATGCATAACATTTCAAGTATATTTAATGTCAATCATAACTGTAAAATATTACAGTTTTTCTATTTTAATGACTATAAGAATCCCAAAGTTTCCCTATGTGTCAAATATTTATTACATTATGCAACAATTATCATGGAATTTATATTGTTTTGTAAAATCTACTGGATTTTCCCATCCATGTTGGCAGCTATGCATTACTTAGAAACATTTAACTTTATTTGTTGTTGGCATATATGTTCTCTTACAAAGTAATGTGAAAGGCAATAAAAACAGATGTACTATTTAATTCAAAAT